ACCCCTATATATATATATATGGTGGTGAGGACTGCAAGAAGATTTGATGAAACAACATATTTCTAATAAGTGGAGCATGTTACTTCATATAATGTCAGTTGGTCGACTTTCATGAAGGTTACTGTTACAAATTGCCAGATCACAGTGATCAAAAAGAACCACTTAATTAGTGCTTTACATCAGCTTTACATTTGATTTCAATTTGACTACTGCTTCCAAATTTCCAAATATCCCTTCTTAAGCTGACTTATGCTAAGGCAGACACATGGAAGAGAAATGAGAAGTTTTTTTGGGGTGCAGGTATTAAGGTACTGAACTAACTATTGGAGCACCAGTTGTGCCATCACACACCAGATCAGGTGATAAAATGGGCCAAACTCTCACAAAGCTGGTGCAGCTCTTTTAAGAATGTAGCTCACAGCACCCCATCACCCCCCCCTTCAAAAGCCTCAGATGACCTTTTCTTGCAAACTAAGTGGTCAAACATCCTCTCTTGGCCCCAGCCTCCTTTTCCTCAAGGTGAAGTCATTGACTATTCAGCCACTTGCAATGCCTGTCTTTATATTTGAGATGTTGCCCAGGGTGCATCTTTTGCCTGCAGGGAAACCCCCCCCCCCCCACACACACACACTCTTTCTCTCTCTCCCTGTCTTTCCAAGCTTTATGGAAATGTGGTGATGCCATGTGAATGAGTTAGGCAGCAGCTTCAGTTTAAATGAAAGCTGTTTTTAAAGTTAATTTTAGAAAACTGGAAAACAACCAGCATGCAGGAACAAACAAATATAGGCTTAGAATTATTTTCCCAACTGATGCACTTTTTAGATCTTTTCAATTTTCTCCTTGATTACATTGATTCATCAGTTTTGTAGGTGGGATCCTGATAGATAGATATATATGCAGTTCTTCCGAGGAATATGAGATGGCAATAATGCAGCTACGACAATTTAGTGTTCATAATGGGGGCGGGCCATACTGGGCATTTTGATATTGATCCAGTAAATTCCTGGCTAGTATCGCCATTACCAATACCTTTTACTTGAAAAGTCATGTTCATTGAATCAAATCATCTTGTGACAAAACACAGAACGATTTTTTGCAAAAACAAATGTTATGTTTGCTCCGCTGTCCTATTTCTATCCGATGTATGTTTGACAATCTGCAGCTTTTTGAAGTAAATTAATTCCAGCAGTTAGCATCTCCTAGGATTTTCTTTTAAAGGGCCAATATTATGTGTTTCTCAGGCATATATTTAAATACAGTACCATAATAAAGTATCTATGTCACCTTTAGCTGTTATTAAAATGTTGTTTTTATGTTTAAATAGAAAATAAACTTATCTTCTCATCACTTCCTCTTCTAAACGCCTTGAAATTGGCCTCTGTCTCTTTAAGAACCACCTTCTGCTTATGTCCCGTCCATTTCAGCGCGGGGAGGGAGGGTAACGCACGCACTATGATGCAGTTTACTTGGGATCTGAAAATACATTTCCTCAAATGTATTTTTAATTTGAAAAGAGCATCACTGAGTGAGAACCAATGTTTAATAGCTCAGCAAACAGTTAAGTTTCACTTTCACTTTCACCTGAGAGCCTGCAGGAGTCATGGGCGGGTGCGCTCTGCCATGAGGAAGTTCGGCATAAAGACACGTCCCAGGTGCATTTCTGGTCCCAAAAGGCGTTTCTGGTCCCCACCTGTCGTTTTGCTCCTCAGCATGGCTTCCTAAAAACACTGCAAGATTTCTCAAGCATGCATGAATGAGTCAAAGCAAGACTTTGGGCATGTTTTTTTATGAAAGTATAACATCATAACATGATATAAAACTCAAAAAAGTTGATTTTACATGATATTGCCCCTTTAAAATGTCAAAGCTAAATGTAGGTAATAAAAAAAAGCCTTTGAGCAATTATTTGATAATCCCGATTTGACTGAAAGTCTGTTCTTATACAAAACTTACAAACATATTAATTTCCTTAATCATTGTAAGTTTAATACTTCTTTCAGTCAGAAGCACATATAGGAATTCACACAATTAGAAAGAGGAGCATGTAAGGGTGCTGTAATATGCTAACGATGTAAATGAAACTGGGCTGGCAGTCTGGTTTCTGTCAGATCCTCCTGAAAGTTTCTGGGGAATCAGAATGCAGCTCACGCTCTGCAGCTCGGAAGCTCCAAGAACACACAGGCAGTCCTTCAGTTTGTCACAGTCTGCGTTTCTGTTTCAGCAAACACATTTTTCCCATGGGGGCTGGTTGTAGACACAGTGCATTCCCCCGTGCCCCGACCAAACCGTAACCAGAACCCCCCAGCTTCAACGTTCAAACATTTACCCAATTCTAACTTTTACCCTGGAAACAGATCAAACAGAAAAAAAAAAAACATCCTATTTATTGTTTATATGTAATTATTCAGAGACTATGGCTTTAAGCCATGAATGGAACTCATTTTGAAAATACTAATTTTATTTATTTATTTTTAACATTAATGTTTGCAAGAAATATGAAATCTATATTTGCAATTTTTTTCCTTTGTTTCAATCAAGTATTTAGGGAAGACAGAGGTAACAGCTGACTACAAAGTGTAAACACTTAATATAAATTCATAAAAAAACAGGAGAGTTCTTTTTAAAACAGGAACTGAAAAGCTGTCGTCTGCTGACTGCAGTGAAGTTTGACCTCAGCTGCATAATGATTTATTTTTAGGCAACTGACAAAAAAATTAAATGTTTACTCTTTCCAAACATTGTCATAACTATTGGCATGGATTAAAAAAAAAACAACAAACATTAAAAAAAATATAAAACCTTAAACCTTACATTTGAGATTTGAGATGATTTCTCTGCGTGTCGGCTGCTGAGCTTTGAGCTGTCAGACAGCAGAGCTCAAAGCTGCACTGAACACGTCACTGAGTTCAAGGCAAGAATTTAAAACGACACATCTGACTTTATTGTTGTTTTTTTCTGAGATGCAAGTGCAAAATATGCCATTCTGTCTCAAACTGTCCCTATTCACATTGTTGTCCTTATCTTTTCCCTCAAAGCTCAATTGTTCTTACTGACAAAAAAAGTTTCTCTTCTCAGCTTTAGCCTTGTTACATCTCCATTTGTTTGGGTGCTTTATTTTGGAGGTTGAGCAGCAGTTTTTATAGCAGGACTGAGTCAACTGAACTATTGTCCACCAACAACTGAGGAAACTTACATTTTTCAAAAATGTGACCCAGTTTTGTTGTTTTAAAAAAATAAGTTTGCTTTGTATCAGAAGATATCAATATATCCAACTTTATTATTATTTTTTTTTCATTTTAGTACCATTGTAACTAGTTAATGTTAGAGTTAAAATACTGTTAAATTAGCCTGACCCTTCCCTTCCTACAGTTCCACTCAGTTCTAGTTTCGCTTCACTGCTCCATCTAGGATTTCTCCGGTACAATTTCAACCGGGCCAATCAGCAAACAGAAGGAGGAGTTGTGAACGACATTTTCTGCATCGTTTTAGTCTTCCTGTAGTTTAGCAATGGCAGAGGAGGAAGTGAATGAAGCCAGTCTGTGTTGACAAGGCTTCCAAATTTGCCTCAGAAAACCTGCAGCTCTCATTTACAGACGTCTTGTTCAGCTCAGTACTTCTCTCCTCCCAGCAGCGGATGATTGTTTACAGCGCACGCAATTTCCAGTTAGCTTCTTAGCTTAGCTTCCTTCACAGCCAAACGTTAGAGACTGGGTAAATCAGATCCAGTCGTTGTAAACTTCAACAGAGTCCACGTCACCAGCAAGAAATCATTTCAGACCCTCTGTACGACGCAAAGTGTGCACAAGGGGCTTTTACCAGGCCACTGTTAAATACAAGAAGACAGAAGAAGTGTTTTTTTCAGAAATCTTTGATATCCTTATCATTATCACTCACACACAAATCACATGGAAATCTGATGGTATTTAGAGGCTTATCACTGCAGGATGTTTGGCTTTAAAAGGATGCTGCTCAGACTTGCAGGAGGGAATTATTTGTCATATTCTGATCAAAACATTGCCCACCCCCTCCTCCCCACTCTCCTGTTTCTCCTCCTGTGCCGTAGCCCTGGTGTACCTCCATCTGTGCTGCTGTTTGCCTTTTGTCTCCTCTTCTCGCCGTCGCCCTCTACACCTCAACAGGAATCAGGTACGCATCCCTTTCCTCTCCTTTGTCACTTTCACCTCGGCCATTCATCAACAGTTGGACAAGCTTTGACATTTTAGGACTTCCTGTTGTTTGCTTATTAGGCCATTTTGTTTGAGGGTGAAAATGAGTCATAATATTCATAATGTTTAGTTGAATGTGACCTTTGGACATGTGGTCTGGATGTTTTTCTTCCCTGATTAACTCTGTTCACGTCTGCTGTGCACAATCTGGTCTGACCTTCAAAGGAACCAGTGAGTATGTTTAAAGTATCAGGAACAATTTGCATGTCTTTCCTCAGATGATTCAAAGCTCCTCCAGGTGACCATCCCCACGAACCCCCCTGTGATCGCCGTGCTGGGGGGTTCTTTAACTCTGCCCTGCCTCGTGTCGCTGGCCCTCCCTCCACCGTCCCCCTCCACTAACGGCCGCCACGCCGTGCTGTCCGTGCCTCGGGTCAAGTGGAGCGTCCTGAGCGAAGACCGGGAGGCCGAAATCCTGGTGGCCCGCGGCGACAGGGTGAAAGTCAGCGAGGCCTACAAAGACCGAGCCATGCTGCTCAACTACGCCTACTCCCCCGCTGACCTCACGCTGCGCCTGGAACACCTGAGGCAGAACGACACCGGGTTCTACCGCTGCGAGGTCCAGCAGGGCCTGGAGGACGCTGATGATGTGGCTCAGGTCAAGGTCAAAGGTGACGCACACAAATTATGTTTTTTTTTTAAATTAATGTCCGTCCTGATCAATCTAAATAATCCAGGTAGAAAAAATCTATTTAAAAAAAGTAAGTAGGTCCTCTGGATGGGTTCAGCTGGGTTTGCCTGTTACTCTTTATTAACTTTTTCTTTAATATTCTTAATCTAAATAAATCAGGAAATGCATTTGACATAATAATTTTAGGATCTTTTTATTTCAATTTACGTCAATGTTCTTAAACAGTCAAAGCATTTTGTGGGCTGAGTCTGAGTGGATGCAACAATTTCCTGATTAAAGCTGTATAATTATTCGTTTTTATTGGCATTTTATTGGTCTTGTTGTTTTGACTTTAACATTAGGATCGTGACAGAACACATAAGTGCCATAAACATCACCAAGTTCTTCCTTTGGATTTTATTTTAGGGGTGGTGTTTCATTACCGGGATGCTTCCAGCCGATATGCCTTTACCTTTGAGCGGGCTAGAGAAGCCTGCGAGGACATCGGGGCTGAAATGGCCTCCCCGGATCAGCTGTTGGCAGCTTATCACAGTGGATACGAGCAGTGTGACGCAGGCTGGCTCTCAGACCAATCCGTCAGGTCAGAACTAAAGGCCCTGTCACACTAGACAACTTATGAAACATTTTATGTCTAAATTGCTAATAAAAGTTACATATATTAGATCAATTTATTAGAATTACACATGCCAAAAAGAATTTTCCTGTTGATTTTTTCAATTCCATCTTCAGTGTAGACGTCTTTAAAATGTTCATAAGTTGGCATAACTTGTGTAGTGTGACAAGGCCTTTAACAAAAATCGACCCTATAAGAAATAAGTGAAGAAAATTATTGGGGTTTGTTACTTACTGATTTAATTGCATTACGCATAGTATGGGTTGTTTTATGATAGAACTGTAATGACTGTTAAATGTGACTTTTGATGAACTTGATGATTATATATTAATAGGTACATGCCTGATACAAATACATCACATTTGAACTCTTAATCATTAGGGTAGACTCTTTGTGAGAGGGCAGGGCTCTGACAAAGACAGCCCCTCCCCACCCCCTTCACCGATGATGTAATCAATAGGCGGAGTCCTGCCCTGAAGCTAATGTTAAATATTCTTGTGATTTCCGGATTCGGTCTGATTTCCTAGTTCTTCATTAAACCGGTTATCAGCGAGAGCGCTCTCGGTTCTGTATGGTTTTCCTTAACACTCTCATTGCATTTGCACATTCTCAATATGTGTTCGCACACATTCTGGTAACGAACACGAATTAACACCTATTTCTTTCATAACTTTACAGTTTTTAGCATCAGTACAATATGGAAGCCCATTTCCGCCACCCTGATAAAAAATAAAACTTGTATCTCATTATTATGGCTTAGCTATCTCATTATTATGACTTAGCTATCTCATAATTATGAGATACTATCTCATAATTTTGATTAGGTAATTATTTTAATTTAATTATAGTTAATTATGAGATATTATCTCATAATTATGAGATATTATCTCATAATTATGAGATAT